GGGGGCGTGCCTTTGGGGTATGTATTTTGCATCTGGTGAGTGGAGTCTCTACTTCCTGGCCCTGTCCTGAGCTGCTTCCCTCCAACACATTCCTCTGCCATGATATTCTGCCTCACTTTGAGCCCCAAGGAATGGAGCTATGAACTGAGACTTCTGAAACTGTGAGCCCCTAGATAAACTTTTCCTCCTCTAGTTGTCTTTGTCAGGTCTTTTAGTCGCAGCAGCAAAAAAAGCCGACTAAAACACCTCCTAAACCCATTTCCCCCTCTGTAGGGTGGCTCATGCAGGTGCGGGGACGGTGTCAGGCACCATCTTTTGTTCTGGAGTCGAGGTTAACTAGAAGGTTAACTAGTCTAGGTTAACTGCCAGAAGGCCAGGGTCATGATTGTCTTGTTTCAACCTCTGTGATTGTAGGGCAGACTAAGAGAATTGTAGAAAGCCCTGGAATTCTTTTAGGGTATAAAGAAGTGATATTTGAGAAGCAGAGAGCATAGCAGCACTTAGAAAATCATACAAAGACCCTGTAAGTTCACTTGTTAATTCCTTCATTTAGAAAGTGCTAATCTAGGACCCAGCTGAGGGCTTGACCCTGTGCTAGGTGCTGGGGTGTGGTATTGAACTAAACAGAGAGAAGAGAGAAAGAGAATGTGTGAACAAATGATTATTTGTAAATAGGATCAGAAAGGAAGCTGTGAATAGGATCTGTGAAAGAGAACCAACAGCGAACAGCTGGGGAGGAGGAGGTGGGGAGAGCTGAGGCCAGAGGAGGAGTTACAAGCCAGTCAGAGCAAGGAGGCTCCAGGCCAGGAGGAGAGTGGGTGCAGAGGCTCTGTGCCTGGCCTTAGCTGTGCGTTTAGAAACTGACCGAGGCCAGGATCTGAGGGATAAAGCTGGAGAGGACAGAAGCAGACGGGGTGTGCAGGTCCTTGAGGCCATGGGGACTTGAAGTACTGATAACTAAAGCACTGAGAAGACCTTGCCTGGTCTTGGCAGGGAAATACACCATCTGACTAGGTTGGGGAAGAGCTATGCTCTCTGAGCCCGACCCTGTGGGCAAACTTCCAAGTTTTCCCTCTAACTTCCAGTGCCATGTGGCTTCCACAGAGCTCTTTCCCATGCCTGCCCTGCCAGGGAGTGAAGGACCACTCCCAAGAGCAGCCCTCAATTGCACACAGGGGATTTTACCACCTGCACTAGGATGGTGGCAACCCAGACCATCTGTCCCACAGGCAGAGGTGCAGAATGACTTCTATGCTTTAACACTACCAGCTCACAGTCTGCCAGAATTCTCCGGCTCACCCACCCAGTCCAGCCATCATGTGTCCTCTTGAAGGAGTCAGACATAAGAAGCTCTTTGGAAGAAAGAAAGAAAAAAAAAGGATAGATAATGTCAAATCCCCCAGCAAGTCCCAAGTCCCTCCTTCCTGGCCTCCTGAGTAGAGAGCCTCTTGGCTCCCCTTCGGATAGAACTGTAGTGTAGCGGAATGAAGGTCACGGCTCCTCCCAGCCATACCTTGGCTGTGCAGTCACCATCTTAACTTTTCCAAGACTCTAAGACAAGGACTCCACCTTCCACCAGAGAGACTGCAACTGTGGCTGTAGATGGCCGGAGCTCACTGAGCCACCTCCTCCTTATAAGCACAGCACACATGCACACACACTCCACGCCCGTTTTGTTCATTATGTGAGAAATAGAAAAGCCCTGCGGCTCATTTTCAAAATATAGCCTTAATTGGATCCAATTGTAGCCATTTTAATTATCCCCCTTCCCTTTGCCTGCCCCAATTTTAAAATTAGCCAATCGAGTAGATTGTGACCTGAGCTCCTCCAATCAGGGTGAAGGGCAGCGCTGGGTTAGGGACTGCCACTAGGCACGCTTGCTGACCAGGTTTTAATAGCCAGCAAGAGGGCAAAAATTTGCCTTGCCTATCCACTTTAGAGCACGTGTTTGATTTCTTGCGGCACCTGGGTATTTCTAACAATTAAAGTACAACTGATTTCTCGCTGATCCATGTAGACGCAATGGGCTTTCTCTTAGTCAAACCTCTTCCTTCGACACAGCATGGGGTAAGGTGGGAGGATATTCCACTACCTATCAGTGCTTTATCTTTCTCAGAGAAACTAGTTGCTTAATTGAGAGCACAGTCCTGGTCATATTGGCCAGTTGAAACGTATCTTTGACTTATTCATCAAGAGTAGCAGAAGCTATTAGTGCCCCACGAGTACACCCTGGGCACTCACTGTTCCCCACGCAGGCTCCAGTGTTTTCTATGATAAACACCTGCAGTTTTCTGCCTTGACCATCCTCTGCCTGCAGGAGCATGATCTCTTAGTGTGTGCTTGCACATGCTGCCAGTCTGTGTGTGCCTTGGCTGCAGAGACTTCTGTCCCCACAGCAGGGCTTGGCAGCGAGGAAGACGCTCATGCTGCAACCCTGGGAGATGAACAGAGGGACTCTGTGTGGAGCAGAAAGCAGCCTCAAGCACATGATCGGGACTGGGCCTCTGCATGGAACTGTGCCTCAGATCCGAGGCCCCAGGGCATCCCTGCAAGTGTCCCCTTTTCCTGCCCTAATTCATGGCCAGCTGAATAGGGACCCTGCAATGAAGAGAGCTCTTGAGTTCCATCATCCAGGCTGCATCTCAGTCCACCAGCTGTGACCCTAGGCAAGTAACTGAACCTATCTGGGCTCAATTTCTCAACTTTAAAATAGAGATAAATGTAGTATCTCATTTGCAAGTGAGTTAATCCCTGACAAGTGTTGGGCTCGCTGCCTGCTGATGGTTGAGTGTGTACCCTCCAGGTACTGCATTAAGTGCATTAAAGTATGTTACATAAAGGATTTCACGTGCAGAAACTGTACAATGTCTGTGTTACCATCTGACATAGGCTGGGCTCCCCCAGAGACAGAGCTTGAGACAAAGATTCAACTGAAAGCAATGTATTTGTGAGCTAACTCTAAGACATATAAGTAGAGAACTTGGGGGACAAGATAGGGAAAGCCAGACTTACCCCTAGTGATAATTGGGCTTCAATCCCATTGGAGACTCTGAGATGTGCAGAACCTGCCCATGGGACATTTACACCAACTCCCATCAGTTATGGTTGAGGGCTGCCTCAGGAGGAGGCATGCCAGCTTTTTTTCCCTATTTACCTGGGAATGTCCCAGTTCCAGCATGGAGAGTCCTATGACCTGGGAAACCCACCCCAACCTGGATGGATGGTCACATCCCCTGGAGAGCACTAATTTCCCAGCACTTCCAGGGTGTCACACACTGGCCAGAGCCGACTACAGGGCCCAGAGCAAGTCGGAAGATAGAACTGCTGACCTGTAGGAGATACTATGTACTAAAATGGCCAGGCCTGAGGGGATGAGGATGGGATACCCAATCCCATCGTGGAGGTGAGAACCATGAGGTTGGGAGAGGTGAAGTGATCTGCTCAGTGTCACAGGGTGGCAAGTGGCCTTGGGCACAGGGGTTTAGCCCAAGTCTATGCGATACTGAAGCCCGTGCTCCTGATTATCAGGCTCCATGACTCCTCCTCCACAAAACAGCTGTGGAACACAGACTGGAGGAACAGGAAGGACTACAGGGAATTGGCCAATCTGTGACTAGAAGCATCTACAGGTCTGCTATATTCAAGGGGCCACAGAGGCAGGAGGAGCTGGATATTAGACCATGAGGAGGTGGGGCCCATGGCCAAAAGGACAGTATGGCAGGCTCCAGCTACTCAGCTCGAGCTGATCCTGACCTATGGGAATGGAGGCCCAGTGTTATCAAACAACCCTGAATTTTAAAGAAAGCTAGATTTTTATGGGAGATCTCCAAAGTATTAGGTGTCACCTAAGAATATTTGTGTGTGTGTGTGTGTGTGTGTGTGTGTGTGTGTGTGTTGCTGGGGATTAAATCCAGGGCCTTGTGCATGCGAGGCAAGCGCTCTACCAACTGAGATATATCCCCAGTCCTCATCTAAGAATTTTCTAACCAACCAAATATGGCATATTTGTCCCTGGCTACCTGGCTGTGACCCTGAATCTTGTCCTATGGCCTGTCTACTCATCTCCATAGGTGAACCTAAGAGCTAGTGTTGACCTTTATCTTCAATAAAGGTCTCTATAGGGGCTGGGGATGTGGCTCAAGCGGTAACGCGCTCGCCTGGCATATGTGTGGCCCAGGTTCCATTCTCAGCACCACATACAAACAAAGATGTTATGTCCGCCGAAAACTAACAAATAAATATTAAAAAAAAATTCTCTCTCTCTCGCTCTCTCTCTCTTAAAATAAATAAATAAATAAATAAAGGTCTCTACAGAAATAGGGACTTGACCCAGTGTGCATGTACTGCACATGTCCACCTTTGCTGAGCTTTATTTTTGTCTATGTTTCTTTCCAGCTGTGTTTCTGCATGTGTGTGTCTACAACTGACTCCCAGCTTACAAAAACTGAGACAGCCACACTGGTAACAGGCCAGTTAATAAAGAGCTGAAGCCCTCAGCAACTTAGGGAGGCCCTGAGCAATTAGTGAGACCCTGTCTCAAAAAATAAAAAGGGCTGGGGATATGGCTCAGTGGTTAAGTAACCCTGGGTTCAATCCCTGGTACGATAGATAGATAGATAGATAGATAGATAGATAGATAGATAGATAGATAGATAGATAGATAGACAGACAGATAGACTCCCCAGTTAGATCCCATGCCCTAAGAGCCCAACCTTTCCTAGGATCCCCATTCTTCCCTTCAACACAACAACACCAGGGCATGGCAGGGACCACAGGCACTCTTTGGTGCCTACACTGAACTGCTATTACCCTTTATCTCTTTCCTTGTTTTGAATCATTGTTGATTCAAAAATATTCAGTTATAAACAGTGGCATGCTGGTAAACACTTAACAACCCATGCTCTAGGAATAAAAGATAGTCTGATCTGTAGCATTGGTTAATTTCTGTGGTGTACATATTCATACACTGTCAAACCAGGACCAGGGGAAGAGTCACCTACCTGCAGAAGGAAGTCAAAGAGTGCCAGGCGTGCCCACTCCCCACGGTGGATGCCCAGGCACGAGGCCTGGCCTGGCCCGCTGCAGCCACGGGCCAGCAGGGCCTGATACTGCAGCCAGCCCAAAGCCAGAGAGTTCTGGTCTTCATCTGGGTCACCCAGGTGCTGCACGTCAGGTGCCCACCAAATGACAGGCCTTATGCCACCATCGATGTAGCGATAGGGCAGCAGGGGACTGTGGAAGCTCCGGGCCACAGCAGGCAGGCTCCTGCGAAGACCCAGCACACGGTCCACGTGGAAGGAAAGGACTTCGAACAGGTCCCCAGGCCTCTTGATCAGACCACAGAGCCCCTGGGAGCAGAGTTGGCTGAAGCTGGGAGGAGACATGTCCTGAAGGGTACCCTGGGCAGAGAAGCCAACCTGCAGCACCTGCCCATGGGCGGGGACCCTGGCTTTGCCCACCACCTCTCCCTGGGCCAACATCCGAAGGGTCTGCACATCATGTTCTGTGAGCCATGGGGGAACCTGCCCAGCAGTCCTTGGGCTGGCCAACAGCCCGGGGGTCTTCGCGTCACACCATATAGATGTCTGCAGCTCCCCAACAGAGTTAGGCCACTGATGAGCCCCCAAGCCTGGGGTGTTGTCCCCTGTCTGTTCCTCACCAGTTGAGATCCTGTCTTCAGTTTCCAGCAGCTGATCCCTGCCTGCCGCTGGAGCGGATGGGAGGGTCAGTGCAGCAGTAGCTCTCCAGGCTGGAAGAGCTGCCTCGTTGCTCCCTGTGAGTGGATTGACCAGGAAACCCATCTCTCTCCATGTCTCCTTGATGGGGCTGCTGTGCCAGGGGTGTCCCAGGGCTTTGGTTCCTGCACCTCTGACTTCATGCTCCCCCAGACGCACAAGATGCTGGGTACTGACTCTCAGATCTCTTGCCAAAGCAATGGCCCTCTTGGCCCTCCCCAAATGCCTGGTGTCCCCTTCTGGGGACTGTGTCCTTCTGTCCATTTGCCCTCTGTGGCCTTGCTTCTCAGCACAGGCCAAGATGGAATTCCTTGGCGAAGCCCGGCCTCTCCAGAATCCCATGTTCCTTGCTCGCTGTCTCCGGCTGGAGCTCAGAGCTTGGCGAATGTGGGGCCCAGGGGTGCCAGTCTCCCCCTGGGGATCCATAGGGCCAGGGTCTGGGCCAGCAGCTAGATGCTCTGGGGGGAAGCGGTTAACAGCCACCACAGACAGGATCATCAAGAGGCAGAATGCCATCGCTGAGCGCCTCTTGCCACGCAGCCTTCTCCAGAGCCAAGATGCCTGGGGGATGGGGTGGGAAAAGATAGCTTGAGACTGGGAAAGACATCAGCCCCAACCCACAAACCCATGGCGACAGTGAACAAAGGAGCATCCTAGGTGCAGGGAAGAGTGAAGAAATTGTAGCCCAGGTGGAGGGACAGCTAGCTGCTCTCTCTCTCTCTCTCTCTCTCTCTCTCTCTCTCTCTCGAGAGAGAGAGAGAGAGAGAGAGCAAAGTCTGGGCAGCTTGGCTTGCCCTTACCTTCCGCAGGCCTTTGCAGAAAACACCTGCACACAGGCTTGGGCTTCTCCTTCTCCTATGCGTTGTATGGGTTAGCCACCATACAACGCTGGCCATCATGCCCCACAAGGGAATTTTCCACATCTGTGTCCTCCACTAAGTGCTGGGAACTCCTCTGCTCCCATCTCCATGTGATTCCATGGGCCCTCTTGAGAGACTTCTAATTGTCCTCCACTAGTATGCTCATCCTCCTCTCCAGGGCACATGGCCATCCAGTGAAAGATGACTTTGCCCCACCTCCGTCGCCAGTGCTCATAGCCATGTGACAAAGTTCTTAACCTTTGGCATGAGCGCCAATCACTCTGCCTGTGCCACTTGTTTCAAAGGAAGTTGGCTGCGGTGGCCTTTCTCTGTCCCTTTTCTGTCCCATTGGCAGTTGAATGTGGCAGTATCAGCTCTGTACACTTTAGCAAGTGAACATCCAGTGGCAGTGACCAGCACGTGGTACCTAGACTAGCAGTCTCAGTATCTCCTGGGAACTGATCAGAAATGTGGATTCTCAGGCCCTGAGAAACTGAGGTGACTCCATTTTTGAGAAACCAGCTTCTACCTCAAGGCCTGTCCAGAGGGAGGGGGCGTGACCCTTGTCCTTAGAAAAACCCATAGAGCGTCCCTAGGCACATACCCAACCCGCTGAGTTGTTTGTCTGTAAATAACAGGAGAGATCTGCAGAGCCAGGTGTCCCTGACTCAGTTAGTCTAGGTGAGGACCCATAGCATCCCCCTAGCAACCACCAATCAGCGTGAGACAGGGAAAATACCTGAAATGCCAGGTGACCCTCCCAGTAGTTTAGGTGATTGATAACACATTAGGAAACTGTGTATTTTAGCGTGTACACCCATCAGTTCAAATTTATCCACCTCTTGAAATCACCAATCACCCCTACCTGACTTGTTCCTGCAAGTGAATGTGCCAATCAATGTTAAGAGTTGTTTGATTGTCCCGTGGTGTGAATGATTTGTGTGATGTTGTGATGCATAGAGTATCCCCCCAAAAAAACTAAAAATCCTCACTGAACTAAGGGCCAGGACTCATTCCTTGGGACCGCTGCGTCAGACACTGTTGTGAGTCCAGGCTCGAGCTTGCAATAAAGACTCTTGTGTGATTGCATTGGATTCGGCTCCTGGAGGTTTATTGGGGTCCCATGAATCTGGCATTACAACGCTACTCCAGAAGCACTGAACCAGAAGTGGGCCCAGCATCCTGGGTTTTCCCAACTTCCCCCTATGACAGATGCCAGCACCACAGCTCTAAGGCAGCGTGGAGCCACTGGAAAGGGAAGGAATATGGGTGCCTGCAAGGAAAAGTAGGAGCAGAGCTGCCAGGAGCTGTCTGAGGCACTCCACTGGGAGGTCTCTGTACCCATGAGCATTTCCTTTAATGACACCTGCCGGTAGAGCACTCATATATAGTAAGAATCAATGACTATGAGGCGACTGAATAAATAATTTAAAAAAAATGTAGCTCACATCACAAAAATTCTCCCCAGATTAAATATACTTATTGCATTTGCCAGATTCTTCTCAGAGAGTTTTGATATTACGTGAAGTATGGGATAAGTTTCTGGAATGCATAGAAAACTAGGCACAAAGCAGACAGAATTTAAAAGATCTCCCTTAAAGAGGAAACCAGGCCAACAGAACAAACCCAGTTCCATTATTCTCATGTATGTGCTCGCTGTTCTGAAAAGTCCCTTTGTGGGTAACAAAAGGGGATTGTTCGGGATCAGTTCTGCAGTGAATGTGCAGCATCAATAGACTCCCAGTTTCTCTCAAAAGTTCCAGTTCTGTCCCCCACAATCCACCCCAGCAGCTACATTTGTCCAGGCACCCTGACCCCGGACCAAAGCTGATGGGGTGGTCCTGGACCCTGACCAGTTCTGGGCCAACAGATCCTCGCCCTTGTCCTCAGCCCTGGGAACTTGGGATTGTGGTAAGGTTGACTTGCTCTGCTCATCAAATGAAAGTGGGGGCCCGTGGCCACCCAGCAAGTATGACAGCAGTTGGTCTGTTCTGTTGAAAGCCAGTCTGTAGGGAGAGAGAAGGGAGGACTTCTACAGACAAACCAGTGACAGAAACAGAAGGGAGCCTGGCCAGCTTCCTGGAGCTACAGGCCCAGTCCTGAGCCTGGCCCTTGGGAGCTGCAGTTACTGCCTGGACTCCATGGGACTCAGCAAATCCAATGTGACCCATCCTCTCTGTACCAGGGCCATGGACCATGTGCACTCCTGCTTCAGGCAACCAAAAAGGCCTCATAAGATCATCTCAGAGGTCCCTTCCCTGTGCAATTAAGAGCATCCCCAGCCTCCCTGAGTCACCATTAGGCCCTCCACTTCCCTTCAAGCATGTGACCTGGAAGAATGGCCCCTAGATGCATTTTCTTTTTTGTCTGTTTTTACTCTCTTTCCGAGCCAGTGGCAGTTTCTACAGGAACCAAACACATTCTCTTCTCAGTACCCTGAACATCAAAAGACAAGCAAAAGGAAGTGGGAAAGCCTCAGAATATCCCACGGCCCCCTCCTGCCTCCAGTTCCTCCACACTCATGCCTTCCCTGCCCCAGGTCTTCCTATCTTTTGGAAATGAGGCCAACATCTCCCCCTCACCACCCCGTGGCTGGTGCATTCATGTCTTGTGGACCCTCTTCATGCCGGATACCTTGGCTGCAGGGAGCCAGTGTGTAGCGTTAGGGAGAAGAGGGGACAAGGAGTCAGCAGAGGCAGTGTTTGTTGGCTGCCTGACCTCACTCTCTGGACCAGCCTCCCTCACTACCAAGGGCCAGCTTGGATGGAATGACCCTAAAGGCTCCTTCCCCACAATAGCCAGTGATTCCAATTCAGGTGGACACTGGAAGTGGACTGACCCTCATGTGGGCCCTTATGGACCTTCCCCTGACCCATCCATCCCTGATAAGCATCTACAGCAAAGCAAAGCTGGACATGAGGAACCCCAACACCACCATCCCCTAAGGCAATGTGGGTCCTTGAGGGATACCCTTGGAGAAGACAGATTAAAATGGAGGTGGTTTCCTGCCACTGCCTAGTCACCACCAGGAGACCCAATCACCTACCTTGACCTGGATAGTGAGGTTCCCTTGAAGCTCTAGACTGACAGTCCCAAAGCCCACGGGGATGTGCCAACACTAGGGTGATGTGCAAGGCCAAGACCTGATGCTGTTGTCAGAGGGGCCACTAAGGTAACTGTCCCCCTCACCTGGGTGAAGGAGACTCTAGGGGAACTACCCTCTGGTTTCTGGCACCTGACAACCCAGGACCACAGTCTCCAGGAGAGATGCCCTACTATAGAGTCTGAAGGGAACAGTCCTACGGACAAATGAGTAACAGAAACAGTAAGCAACAGGAAATGAAGTAAAAGCAGGGTTCAGATTTCCACCCACTCTAGACAGGGCTCCCAGGGCCACCAGATGGGGAGAAGGAGCCTGGAGATTTTCCTTGAAAATGTGTGGTCCTAAAAAAATCTGTGCTCCCCAAACCTGGATTTTACCAGAATCTTTTCCTTCTTACTGGAGATGCATTAGAAAAATGGTTTTCAAACTTACTAAGGGAGTTCCATCATGGTCGACTTCGAGGCAGGAGTTTAAGAGAGTGTGCTGTGCACTCGTCCCCCCCACCCCCCACACACACTTTACCAAAATAGCTTCTGTTTCTTACCAGGCTAAAAGGTAGCATTTTCCACTCAGATACCTAAACCAGAAGCCTGACCTTCATTCCACACCTTCTTCTGCTCCATATACTCAAGCACATTTTTTCCTTCTACACATCTCTTCAATCAGTCCATTTCTCACTGTGATGACTTGACTGAATCAAGGACACTGGCAACAGCCAACAGCCTCCTGATTGGCCTCCAGTGCCAAACTCCCGCTCTTCTGTGATCCACTCTCTGCAGCTAGGTTACACCGTTCTGAGCTCTTTAGAGAAAGTGCGCATGCCTCAGTGCTCCAACCATCCTGAGCTTCTTCCATTTCTGGACAGAGGCATCCTGTCTCCACACCTTCACACCTGCTGTTCCTTTAATCCAGGACATTCCTCTCCTCCCTGCTATTCTTCAGGTCTCAGCTTAGACATGTCTCCTGGAAGTCTTCCCTGGAGGCCCCTCCATGGGTTGGACACCCTCTCTGTGTGCTCCCATAATTCATTGCTCCTCCCAGGCACAACATTTTTCACTCTTGTTCGGTATTTTATCATTGAACAGTCATCTCTCCCCGTGGATGGATTGATTCAGGTTGACAAGACCCTGACCCACTTGTCATTGCATCTCAGGACTGGCACAGTGCCTGGGACACAGGAAGCTCTCTATGAAATGAGTTTCAGGTAAGAGGGGTTATCAGGGAGATGCAAACACTGTTCCCTGGCTAACCTGATGGCCAAGGGGACTCCTCCAATCCTAAGGCACTCCGATTCATTTCAAACAGGTATGGTTTGACACACAGACATAAAAATGATTGGGATGAAAGAAGTTTTTATTAAACTCAAGGTCCCCTAGAAACAGGAGGCATGGCATGCCACACAGGGCCACAAGGTGAAGCCCAGACAGGGAGAAAAACAGGCAGATAGACGGGTAGCCCCTGGAAGAATGGGGAAAGAAAAGAAGGAAGCTGAGCAGGTTCAGGGCTGCATGACTAATTTCCTCTGGCTTTGGGCTACAGGTGTGGTTCCCCTTGATCCTGGGGGAGTTGAGGGATGGGAATAGTGTCCCAGACTGCAG